CCCCAGATATTAGCCTCATTCTTGTAAGATGAAACCGGCAAAGTTTAAAGAAAACTGGATGACTGCGAACACGATGACTTGACATATTCTGTAAGTAGCGATTCCGGTAGACTACAGAGGGCAGAGAACCCACGCGTGGGGAAAACTTGAGCTTTAAAACGGCACTGAAACTGGAACCTTCTCATTTTGCACGGGATGCTGTTCGGCTAAAATATAAAAAAGTATGCTTTACAATTGCGACCAACAAGACGAGACTGGATGAATTACTTGTATTCTAGAGCCGCAGGACAAGCATCTTATGCGTAGATGATGGATAATTGCACTTTGTGTTGTCTAATTAGTCTCCGCTTGATAAGAAACATCAGCTATTTGCAATTTGGATGCCCAGCCTCCACAATTCAACGGCTGGGCGTCTGGCGCAAGATGGGCAGTTCAATACTGTCAGGTGGTAAAAGTTCTAGCGGTTGTTCAGTGGCTCTACCTTTAAGAGTATGCACTAAAAATAGCCAGTACTCGCCAAAACTTGATTACGTATCGAATCACTTCACCCGAAATGGGTAATTCAGCCTCTCCTATACGTAATGGGCTCAACAATGTCATCAAACATTGCGAAAATTCTGCCAAAAGATAGCGGTGTTTATTTTTTTAATACTTGCGCGTATGAATACAGCCTGAAGTTTACTCAATCGCCTATAGAAAATAGCCCTTTTATAGTTTAAAATTTTAAGCTGTACCTTCCCCTTTCTCAGTCTTTTAACACATCTGCAAATTTCATTAAAAAAAAACCAACCTGACACCTGATGTGATAGGCTTCGTCTACCAGAGCACTAATTTGTTTCAGCTCAGGTGCTTCGGAGGATTTAAATAATTGAAGTTTTCGATCGATTTGGGAAATTCGTTCATGGTAGAGCGCCTCCTTGACGGCTTTGAATTCCCACTCCAGTTCACTTATCTCCTCGTTAAGTTCGCGGCGCAGAGTGTCTAGATCCGTTTCCATGAGGTCTTCTCCCTCATTGTCACTGCGGAATTCGTTATCTTCATCGGGCGGTGAACCGTCCTCATCATCACACCTGGCAACCCCACTCATGTCGCAACCTTTTTCGCGCGGTCCAAAATAGATATATACAGACCTACATTTGTGGTGGGGAAATAGGAAAATTAAAACGATTTGCTGAACTAGGAAGATAAGAACAAAGGGTGCAACCAAAAGGGAAGCTTTAAAATGAGCAGAATATTGTAAATGGGGAAATTTTCATTAGTTCCTTAAACTGGAGAACGTAAAATTAAAAGATTAAAATAAAGCCACATCATGGGATGAGTAAGTTTCTGATAGAAAAGCATTTTTGACTTATACTCCCAAATACCCTCTAGATCTAAATGACTTGTCATTTGTAACCACCTAAAATATAACGCTTTCTGTTTCATACTCGTGACAAATCTTGTTTATGTTATTCCTGAAAGATTCCATGTTCGCGGGGCCTGCGTGAGTAGTGCACGTTACTCTTTTCGTGGTTTGACACGTAACAAATAATCTCCCGACATGACAAAAAATACTCTTACAAAATCTCCATTTATCACGCAGATCATTTACTTTGTTTAAGATGACAAACAACGGCATCCCTGTGTTAAAGCAAGTACCAAAAATTGTCGTATATATGTCGCGTCGACTCTCCTTTCACATAACGGTTGCAAAAACAGGCAGGATTGTTCTAATAAACCATAAACCCGATCTTTAATAGGTGAACATAGTCGTCTTCAGTGAGAGGCATTTGTCTGTAAAGACAACTTACCTGAACTTGATTGTGCATCGCGAGGAAGAACCATAATGCGCTAAAGCAGCTTTCAGACAACTGCCTGCCTTGCCTACCAGGATATGTCCAATCCCCATTTTGTGTGTGTGTGTGTGTGAAGTATTCTTGGCTGTCGGTAACACAGACTATTGTCCACAGCCCACCTAAACTTCACTGGTGCTGAACTGGGAAGGTAAAACACTACTATCGAGAAAATCGCAGACGTGAGAGCGAGCGGCCCGACAATTTCGGTACAGCCACAACTATCCATTCTGAAAAAGTGAGGATGGGAATCAAAAGACGTCCTGATATTGCTCACCAAGCGGATGTACTTTAGGGCGGCCAGCAACTATCTATTGAAAGGCTCAGAAGCCAAATACATTTCCGATAGTCTTTAAACTTTTGCAGAAAGTGCCCTCACTGCTCAAAATCTAAAGAGCTTCAGGAGTTACTAACGATGAAATAAAAAGACCGCCAAATTTTTCCTAAGCACTGGAATGCCTCCTTATTCAATATTCACGGAAAACATTCCATAGGCATGCTCCACAAGTTTCTGACATTATATTTTGAGCGAAGTCTACTAGGCATTCTGGGTGTATTAAAAAAAAACAGAATGAAACCAAAGACATCACAGTTGCAGCTGGAAAACTGAGAAAGTCTTGTGAGTAAATTCGGGCTACCCTTATCGGTTTGTCAAAGGTAATCGTCACCATGAAGAGAAAAATTGTACACGGACTCGTGTAACGGACAAAACTCAACTGTCAAATGAATTCAAGCGGGACTGCTTATTCCCTCCAATCCTCGTTAAACTTCCGCTAACACGCGGCAGCCAGAGGGGGCGTTCAAGCGTAGATAACTGAAACTGAAAACAATGGAATTCCCTTAACATTTTGGGAATGCATATCGCTTCCAAAGTTCCGAGGGGCAATGTAAACGACGTTTGCAGACGACTGCGTTCACAACTCTACAATCGGGGCAGACTTAAGACCCAGGTCAGACCACTGCCCCTTGGAATAAGAAAACCCTTAACCGGTTATCAGGTTCGGCAAATTAGTTACAGTGCATTCGCCAGCAAAGTGAAGCAAAGAGGTAGAACCAACAGTCATAGTCAACGGCCGGCTCACACTGCGGCGGAGATAATGAATTAATTGGGGCCGAATATTAGAAATAGCATAGCGCAGCGTAAAACTCCAGGCCTAAGTTTCAACAACAATACGTTTCCGAAAGCTGGAACGCTCAGTCTACAATTGCCGATCAATCCTTTCCAACACCAAGCTGAGGATATAGGGTGTGCCGAAATTCTTCGCACCTTAATAACACACATTTTCCGAAGTAATATATTTCACAATTTGCTTCACAGGAAATTTTCCTTTGACCTCTATGGGAGCTTCCGCCTTACTTGGCATCTAATGAATGAGATTCAGGAGCGTCTGCAAGGTGAAATTTCTTCAGGCGTCCAGCAAGAATCTCACCAATCCAGCAAAAGTGGTAGGAGCAGACAGTCTCTCGTCAACCGTATTATCAAGAATTGGCCATAGGTTTTCAAATGGATTCACTTTAGGACTATTTGCAGGCCACATGCTTTTTCCTCCAGAAATACATAATTTCCTCTGACAACAACCCCTATGTCTACAGAGCTGTATCAGCTGTGGCTTCTTCCTACATAAAAATAATCCTCAACATGTCCGGAACATGTTTATTCTCAAATTTTGACTTGCTCACACGACTTTTTCCTACGTTTTAAGGTTTTGCTTTGGGGTGTCCTCTTCATAATATTCATCATTCAGTCTTTTACCCTTTGGGAAAACGTGGAGGTAAGGGAGCCCTCGAAAAGACATTGCTCTTCACACCATGGCTGTAGGTCTAAACTTAGAAATTTCAAAATTCTCGACCATATTATGACTTGGAGCCTAAATAGCGTCATTTTTGTGTTTGGCGGATGGAAGAGTTCATACGCCGATTTATCAGAGAAGACTACTTGTTTCCAGTCGTCTACAGTCCATGTCCTGATATCTTACAGAAGATCATACTACCTTGGATTTGTTTTCTGTTGGTCTAGGGACTTTTCATCTGTGATAGGCCGTAATACCCACACTTTCATGCAAATACCGGTGCACACTGGACTTAGAAACCTTCACGCCTTAAGCATCGAGTTTCTTTGTGAGTCTATTTGTGCTTTGCCTTGGTTTACCAATGGATTTTGCAATAACAATCTTTTCATTTCCCCCTAATGTTTTGGTCTTCGGATCCCCAGTTTTGAGTCGAGTGTTTTCAAGCGAGAAAATGGCATAATGACTAATCCACTACGCCCGCATACCTGTTTTGGACATAATTATCCCGCCTAGACATCTGTGTGATATGGCTGCGATATACTGATGATACTTTCGTTATCGTAAGAAAGGATCAACTGGAAAATGTACACAATGTACTCAACGCCGCACTTCAAGGTATTAAATGCATGCTCGAAGAGGAAGCCGACGCCAAAGTCCTGTTCCTGGATGTCATTGTACAACGACAGCTCGATGGAGCAGTACGCACGACTGTTTAGCGCGAGGAAATGTTTACAGAGGTCATCCTAAACTATGAGAGCAATAATCCTAAATCTCTCATACAAGGAGTACTGTTAACGGTCTGTTCAATCGAGTAAAAACGGATTGTTCGGACAAAGAATGTTACCAGAACGAGCTGAATTACTTATTCGAATTATTTTCCCAAAGCGGTTATCCATAAGAATTCATAGGCTCCTGTATGTGACAACAATCTTCAAAGAAAAATCCATTCAGGCAATAGAAATCAGAGGCCGTACGCTTGGTGTATCCTTCCCTACATAAAAAACGCGTCTGGAATCGTTGACAGACATCTAAGGAAGCACGAAATTCGGGTAACTCATAAACTAACGACTTTACAAACCCACTTGGTACACCGTAGGGATAGGGTAAACTATTTAGGCAAAAAAAA